GGAAGGGGAAGGGGAAGGGGAAGGGATTTTCCTTCTTCAAGAATACTCATTTGACGCATATCTTTTTTGAAAACAGTACAACAGGAGTTCAACAGAAATTGCTAAAAAAAAATGGGGGGGTTAAAAATTGTTTTAGCTAGTAAAATTAAATATACCTTGCACTTGTTCACACCAATTTTGACTGTCTACTGTTTTATCACTGTAGTTGGAAAGTGGAAGAACCATGTCAAAGGAATCAAAACAAAGATTCTATATATAGAACAACTGTAGTTGAGTATGAATTTAGATTTTAACTCTATTCAGACCAGTTCTTAAATCTTGTGTAGGCCTAGCTGAGTCCACAGTGTTTCAGCAATTTACACCTGTTGAAGATCTGGGTTTACTGCACTGATGTATGTACAGTTCTTGGTGGTCATGATACAGAAGCTGCCTGGGGCCCAAAAGCACAGGTTATGAGTGCATCAACCACCTGTAGGATAGACACATGGCACATTCATTACGTGGGGGCTATTTTGGAACAGGTACAGAAATCCTTTTTTTGCCATGAGGTAACAGGAAGAGCAGCTGCCACACTGCTCTTCCTGTTACCTCATGGCAAATAAAGGATTTCTGTACCTCCATCACCAGACAAGCTACTTCCTTTATGGCTAAAGCAGGGGCAGATGTGACAGGAGAGCTTCTTGCAAGTGGATCCTTTAAGTACTTACTGGCCATTTGGTCATTAATTCCTATCCGTTTTTTTCAGATTCAGCGTGAGGAAAGACAATGTCAGAAATACCTGTAGAGACTAGAAGATAAAACAACTCCCTGATGTGACAGTCTTTAACACAATGACCAAATAGATTTCATTAGTTGTTTGTCCTGTTCCTGACACACCAAACACCAGCTCTTGAGACAACCAAGTTCCATGTTCATCTGATGCATGCTTCATGGTTGTGCATCTTCCTGATAGTCTCAATTTTACTAACTAATGTAGTAACAAACAGGACCTGCACCTACAAACACAAACATTAATTCGCCAGTGCAATGATGGACAGCTTTAAGGCTTTCCTAATGCAAAGAACAGCAGCCAAGTTAAGATCTTTGTTTACTACAAGTATTTAATCTTCCATGCTTTGGCAAGTCTACCTCCATCATTTACTTCACCTGTGTGCCACAGAGGCCAGACCCTTAGCTTCTGAAGCTTGTTAGCCATGTTTCTGATCCCTCACAAGTACAGTGGTACCTGTCTTTGCAAGGCACAGGAGTCATTCCATTAAGTGTGGGACATCTGGTCTCCTGGGGGGATCCTGATAACTCAAATATGAAATAACAGGAACATAGTTCTTATTAAATTATTTTTTAACTAGAAATGGAAATGTCCTGGCCCAGCTGACCTTTGAAAAGTGTCACCTATAGTCTAAGAGCTGAGTGCCAAGGGTATGGGACCATGCTTTTTGTATTTTGTCAATATTGCAAAGTTAAAGATTTTATTTAAAAGAAAAATAGTAAATGGCACATAATGTAATTGCTATTTATTTTCATAAACATGAGGTATTTCAAAGTGCTATAAGACGCAGCACTAAATGTACATCATTGGAAGAAATTAAACACAGAACTTTGCAGTTACCCAGTTCTATGCACCAAACATTAACAAATACATTAACTGGAAGAAACAGGCTAGGAAAAGGCATATATAGTAAATTTCTTTACAAAAGTTTCTTAGTTCAAAAAAGTGATAAAGTAATATCTACTCAAAACTTTCACAACTCATTTTCATACGAAAATATAAGTATCAAATTTAGTTATGTATCAGCATCATACTAAAGTATACAGGCAATGTAAGAATTAGTACAGTACATAACAGAGATTAACAATATATTTGTATACAAAAACATGCTCCTCAAACATTGAGGTATTACAGTACTTAGGTATGAACTTCCAGTCTAATACTGGCAGCAAAAGCCACCTCTCATAACCCAAGACATGTACAAAAGGCAAGTGTGTAGATGGTATTTACAGAAATTCCCACAGGGGTACAAAATGCCAACCCCTAAAGTAACATCTGTTAGAACATAAGCACCATAAAACTTAGGAATGAACATTTTAAAACTCAACTAGATGTCATCAGCAGCTCCAAATGCTCACAACACTTTAAAAAAAAAAAAATCCCCACCATCTACAGTTCTTAAGAAAAAACAAAGGCAGTCCATTGTTGTTTGGTAGTCTTGCAATAAACTCCTTGCAAGAACATCCATTTGCTCCGTACCCGGATAATAGAGTCTGTCGATTACTTCAGGAACTGGATTGAAATTAAAACCAACATTCTTAACGTCAAAAAACACAATTTTTTTATAAAGAATCAAAAATGTGCAAAGTGGCAATGACTGTCCAGACCAGCCAAAAAAACAAAACAAAACAAAACATAAGTTTAGCAAGTCCGCTTGTAATCTATTTTCTTTAGTAATTGTTCTTGTCTGGCTTGCAATTTTTCCTTTTCTAGCAGTAACTTCTGCTCCTCTGCCTGAAGAGAATGAACATACTCAGTGGCTTTTTTCAAGATCACAACTTTTGCAGCTTTCTCATTTTTAACCAGTTCTGGAACATGGTCCCTTAATGTGAGGAAACTTGACCGTAGATCATTACGTCGTTGACGCTCCAGGATATTATGGTTGCGTCGACGTTCACTGTCCTCTGAATCAGAGTTTCGAGGACTTGAACTCTTAGGCTTTGGTTGGATTGTGGGTTTTACTGGACGGGGCACCTCAATTTTTAACTTTTTCTGTGGTGGAGCCTCTTCAGTCTCCACGAATGGAGAAGGAGCGGCATAATTATGCTGCTGGTGAATTGGGGCACAACGCTTCAGTATCAGTCCATTCTGCGGTGTCCTGACTGATGAAAAAGTGGTATTTTTAGGGCGCACTGTAATAGTAAGGGTGGTAACAGACTTGTTGGTAGAGGAGCGTCTTTTTTCCACTGTAACGACATCTATTTCTTCTTCTTCATCCTCTTCCTCCTCATCTTCATCATCTTCTGATAGTAAAGGACAGAAAATAAAACAGACATTATTCTTCCTGAAAACACCCTGACCAAGTATCAGTATTTATTGACAACATATATTCAGTAAAAGCAGTAATGAAATCATTAATGTCAAAACCAGCGTGCGCCCACCATCTGCAGTCAGACAGAGATCTGTAAAAGTATGTAATACACATGAAATCACCAAAGAACAAGTATTTCTGAAAGCTTAATAAGTTTGATGAGATGGGTTTTTTTAAACACATCTAATTTTCAGCCATAAAGAGGCCACCACCCACACAATCACAGAGGCAGAAAAGAATTTTTAGACCGAATGTATGTAGTTTGAATGGAACTGTCGAGCTGCGGTACAAAAAGCACAGAGGCACAACACAGCCCCTGCTTGGTAGAAAAGCAGCCGGAAAACGAAACAATCGCTGGGTTTGTTCTGAGGCAGAAGGTGAAGCTGCTCCAGCCGGGGACCCTTTAAGCCGGCGCTTGGTGCACTGCCAAGAAGACAGCTGTTGGAAGTGCTTCCTCACCCAAAGCTGTCAAACCAGACATTAAAGGGACAGCAGGCTCTGAAACCCGGGACGGATCACCAAGTTTGTGGCGGTGGTCATAGGGACCAGCTCATCTCGGCACGCCAAACCGCGGCTCAGCCCAAGCGGACTTCTCTGTGTGCAAGCCCAGAGGTTATCTGGGGCATTTGGGGCTCTGTTAGTACAAGCGCTGCTCTAAGGATTCACTCGTCTAGCTCCAGCCTGCCCGCATGGCGCTCAAGGGGACGCGCACACGGTCATCAACCATAAACCCCGGGCCCGGGGTGACGGCGGCAGCCACCCTGCCCTGCGCCCCCCCGATCCCCCCGGGGGCAGGAGACTATCAGCAGGCCCGGAGCGTCCCCAGTACCGCTCAGCCACAGCGGCCCGGAGC